ATTCCATGCATTAAAGTGACCTGATAATTAGCTCAAGACAGATGTAAATAGCGACAGATGTAAATAGCGGCTGGCTTTCCTGCGGTCAGTGGGAGAGGGCACCGCCATTTCATCCCAGTATGCTTGGCACAACTTAGAATCTTTTACACTGAGAAAAAACTAACTTCTGGGTCAAACTACACATGCCTCCGCTGTATGCATGTTTCCCCGAAGGGCTGTTTCTGTTTCTTTACAAAAACCCAAAGCAGCCCTAGAAAGCAGCAATTTACATGGGACTTTTGCTAGTGGCAGGGGAGGAGCAAACAACACGCATGTCTTGCCCTGCAAAGCCAGAGCCGCATCTTAATCACAAAGCCAAATCCTCCCTCTGAGCTGCTTTTCTGCCCCTGGGGAAGCAGTTATACTACTGGTCCCTTTTCCCCACTTGTCCAGCAGGAGAAACAAAGCTGGGAATAAGAAAAGCAGCATGCAAGGAAAGCACTAACCTGTGCAAAGCACAGCAACTGGACTTCTGCACATGAGTGGGTAACCCACCCACAAGTGAGAGAGAATATTTATGACCGAACCTCACCTCTGCTGTGATCTTCAACCAATCTGCCCATCTGCCGCCTATGGCAGACGGGCATTTCCACCACGGCCTTCACCACCTCCTCTTCTTCTCCCAGCCCCATGAAGACTCCAGGCACACCTGAACACAAGTCCGTGACGTTGCACCTTTACAGTGCAATCCGGTGCGCGAACCCTCAGAAGCAGGTCCTGCTGTGCCCAATGCAACCTGCTTCCTGGTAGGTGGGTTTGGGAGAGCCGCCCCAGCTGGCCATGCTCAAAAGGGCTGGGATGAACCCTGCCAAAATATGCCCCTCCAAGCTCTTGACCGGCCCTCCACAAGTGTCCATAGCCTTCCCTTGTGATCAGCCCAGTCCTCCAAAGTGAGCAAAGTCTACGGGCACGTGTGGAGGGCCAGCCACACAAAGAGCAACCTCTCTTTTTGCTGGTGCAGGAGAGGGATGCTGTTTGCACAGCAGTCACAGGGGCTGCTTTCCTGGGAGGACCCACGTGCCTGAGTGCCCCACGGCCAGGCTCGTTCAGCACCAGGAGTGCTGGTTGGCGCAGCTGCTGCGCACATGCCAGAGGGGCACAGCTCATGCCGCACGGCTTCCACGCATCTGAACGAATGCAGAGAGTTCACTGGAACCACGACAGAAGCCACAATGCCGTGGTTGGACAACCAGCAGTATCATGGTGCAGTCTGGAAACCACAGAACAGACCGTTGCTTCTTGTTATGGTTTCCACAAACCAAATATACCATGCCGGAATACCACAACCGGGTTCAAACAACAGAGCAGACCATCCTGTGCTTGCCACCGTGGCTTGCTGTGTTGTGAGAACCTGCCCAGTGAGCTGGAGCGAGGAACTGGGAAGATGAAGCTACACCTGCCGCCACACACAACCTGCCTGGCACCTTCTAAACTAACCTGCTATGCTCAGGTGTGCTGGAAGCCCTGGGCCATTGCCTGTGTTGAGGAAAGATTTGTCGGCCAGTCTGGGCAGCTTTGCTCCAGGAAAGGGAAGGGGACACCATCATGGCCTTTGCCTCAGGCGGCAAAATGTCTTGGGGTGGACTTTTCATGGAACATCTGTAACAACTAAGGGTCGTCACAGTCACATGAACCTAGCGCCAGTGATCTGGATGTGGCGCTTGGCCGTGTTTCCTTGAGGACGTCCTCAGAGAAGCAGCAAACCTCTAGAGCTCCATGGTCAACAGCTGCTCTTAAAGCCCAAGGTGTTGTACAATGACAGATCGGGAATGCCTTCTCATGGCTATAAACATTAGAAGTACTCTTGGAATTCTGAATTTTTTCTCCAGACCATTGCAGACACTTGCTTAAAGCAGTTGCCAAGTTATACAACAATTTGGGTGGAGCATATGGTTGATCACTGAACTACCTGGAGTCAGTGCGTATTTGCAAAGAGCAACTTTCAAAGCGCAAAAACCCAAAAGAGGGTTTAGTCTGGGTCATTGCTCTGACCTTGTTTTTCTCTCTCTCTCATTAAACTCTGCTTTTGGCTACAAGCCTGAAACACCTAAACTTAGGGAACTAACTCTGGAGAATGGCGGGTGAGGTACTTTGACTCAACACTGCACAGCCCAAAGTAAATAAGAGCAGCCTTGCTGAACCAAAAGAAATGACAATCAACAGCGGCCCACTGTTACAAAACTTGTAAAGAGACAACTATCCCCCATTTGCTCCAAGCACACAGTAAATCAGAAAGACACCTATGAACTTGGACATATAACCAAACTGGCTAAAACTGCAGTGGAATCAGGTGATCTCATGGCTATTTCAGAAGCAAATAACCCTAACCCTAAATTAAAATAAATATCAAAATAAACCAAGTGGCATGACAAGTGCAATGTGTCCGAGATGAATGGCATACCAAGGCAACGGAAAGGGAAGGAAACTGTGCAGGGAGGGGAAGGGGACAGAGGCCCCCCTTCTCTCAGCAGGTCCACCCGCTCCAAGGACTGCCGCTAACCGCTGTCGGGCACCCTGTCCTCATGGCTATCACTGCCACGCAGGTGGCAAACTAGGAGGAGCGAGAGCACAACCGGAGTACTCTGGGCAGGGGACCCCGTGGGGATGTGGGCCCCTGCAGCTGCCCGAGAATGTCTAGCCTTGGGGACAGTGGCCAGCTAAACCCCAGTCAGCGGTACCAAGTACCCTGGTGGGAGGAGCAGGCAGCGAGGCTCTCCCCTCCTGTGCTATATGAAGATTTTTCAAGAGGAAGGAAAGGGGGCACTATTTCCCTTTCCCCACTCCAGAACTACATCCATCCTGCCTCTTGCGCTCTCATGCTCTGTCTCTCGGTCTCACACACACAAAGAGAGTGCTCTTAAATGCTCAGGTTCAGGGATGCCAGCTAGCCCTGAAGCCATGTTTTTGCACACTACCTTGCACTGAAGAAAAGAAAGAGTCGTTTCCCCTTTGCTTCCCCACCTCAATCTCAAAGCGCCTATTCCTCAAAAAGGACTGAATAGCCTAAGCCCCAAAGAGTCCTACAGGGTTTCTGCTCCAGGCTGACTCTAGCCCCGAATTTGTGTAATTCAGGAAGCAATACTAGCGGTCATTGCAGCATCCTATAGCAATGGATGCCTTATGTTTTACTTTGGGTTTTTTTAAAATGGTAGTGGCAACCCCTTTTTCAGAAGTGCATAAACAGCCTTAAGTTTTCATTTCATATGTAATATATGGATAAGTACTGGAAATGTATTAGTTTATGCAGTTAAGAGAATGATCCTCATAGCATTCTCATGTTATAGATGCTACTTCCATCAGTGAGTTAAAATAATTTTTTTGTACTTAAAGATATTCTAAGACAACTGAGTAAAATTCACCTAAGTTCTCTGAATTTTCTAATTCCTGAGTTGTCAAAAGGAGACACTTTTAGCCATATTCAAATACTGTCTCGAACCAAAATGAAGTGTGTGAACAACATGCATAGCATAATATTAAACAAAAGTTTAATTCAAGTGTTACTAAAATTATTTGAGACATTCCATGATGAAACAAAAAGTTACTGTTGCAACTCACATTCCAGATCACTTTCCTTAACAGGGGGGACCCAGTGGTAACACTGCTATTTCTGTAGCACAATCCAGTGCATGTTTACTCCAGTGTCAGCCACACTGTGTATAATATGACTTACTCCCAGGGGAGTGTGCACAGGACTGCAGTTTTAGTAAGCCAAACATATAACATATTATACTTCTCAATCTTCTAAGTACAGAACAACATTGCAAGTGACCTAGGATAACGTTCCTGCCAAGACCTCCAACCTCCACTAGGGATGGGAGGGAAATCTGCTTGGTTCACATTTTAATGTGCCCTTACCCAGTTTCAGATATATATGCAAATATGCCAAAGTTATTTGTCCTCTGAAATTGCACTTCTGCAAATTTTGCAGTGGGATTCTCCAATGAAAAGGTTCTTTCAAAAATGTGTGTATTAGAGGAAAGTACAGAAAGATGCATTTTGAATATTATTTTGATTAATATATGCATTACATTAGGAAACATACTTGCACAAATATGTATGTTAGGCAAAATTGCATATATTTTAAGTATTGTGTACAGAAAAATGCTTATGAATTTTCATATGCATTTTATTATCCTTAGTTCTTAACATTCCAAATGGACCATAACTGGAAGAATGAGAAAACACAGTTGACAAATTTTCCCAGCACTCTACTCTGCATCTTCTGCACTGGAAGATAGAAGGAGCAGAAAGAAGGAAGATCACCAGATATTTGGGACTTCAACCGCCAGAAGCACCTGCCAGAATGGCCAACGGTCAGGAGTGCTGGAGCCGAAGTCCAGAACACGGGGAGGTCTGTGCCCAGCGTAACTCAAACGGTCTTGCCTATGTAGGTATTACTGAGTTGCTCTTCTTTTGCTTCCAGTTTCAAAACACAGACACCAAGCCTACAGTGCCCCAAAGGTTGTAACAGGAATTAAGATGATATCAAAGTATTTGATGGATAAGTAGATAAAGAGGAAAGATGCAGGCATGCAAGATGATGCCTCAAGCAGCCATCTCTAGATAAGCCATTCACGTCACAATACTTTCTTCTGCCAGCAGGCCAGGTACCAGCTGCTCCCCTACTCTTAAACGGAGGACAGTCCACCAATTCTTTTTCTAAAATGCCGGTAAAGCCCGCGAGCTAAGACATGAAGTTAGGCCCATGGAACACAGCACAGAACAGGCTGTTAGGTTCACTGAAAGATTTGGCAAGAAGCTGAGAACTGTGGAGGATCCATGGAGCCTTCCGCAGGGTTTTGCAGGGAGTGAGGCACCCCAACTGCACTTGCAATCAACTAGCAGGGTCACAACAGTTTCTACACAGTATCGTGGTAGCAGAAAGGATGGTAAAAAGCACTGCTCTGAGAGCGGAAAGAGGAGGACACGGTGGGATGGTTGCAACTGGAATTCTTACTCACCGTTTGTGGAAGATGTTAAGCATTGAAATGAACTCTGAGAGCCTAGGAAGGTGCAGTTCTGCCAAAGGTCTGCATTATGCCCATTCCCAACGAGCCATTGCTGAAAGAAAAGGAAGGAAAAATGACAAGGGAATGCCAAGAGGGGGATAAAGCCAAACTGAAACAAAATGCTAAAGGAAGCCTGGTGCTAAAGGTTTGTTTCTCCCCTAGTGCATTTATATACAGTCATTCCCTGAGATCCTTGAGGGCATACTTATAGACAGGTTTAGACAGAAAAAAGGCTTGCTACTCCCAGCATGCCCCAGCCAGCATAGCTGCTCAGGCACCCTGGGAGCTGTAGGCAGTTTTTCTGTCTAAATGTGCAAAGGATTATGCCCTCAAGGACTGAAATGAATCAAATAAAAGCTAAGAAGCACTTGATTTCTAAACATCTCAGAGCATAAATTAGAGCAGTCCTCCAAAAAGGAGAGCATCCTCAGGCACACATCCCTGTTTAAATTAACTGTGCAAAGGAAGATGCCTGCTTTGTTCATTCATTCCTTTGATTCCACTGCAAAAGCAAAAGTTAGAGGGAAAATGAACCACCTCTTTTTTAAAACCTTTGACAGGGAAAGGACAATCCGATCCTCCTGTGTCAGTGGCAGGGCTGTGAGAGACTGCACAAGTAGTTTTAGAAGTTCTTGAACAGAAGAGAAACAAAGCATGGCTGGAGTAAACTAGTCATTCCCTTCTGGGTCACCGCCATGTCTTTGCCTAAGAAAACAGAATACCTATTTCTAAAATAAAGCAACTCAAGGCAGCTTGGGCAATTCTCCCCACTGCTGGCCATACGGTGGGCGACTGTGGTTACATAGCTGAGGGGAGAACATTAATTACTCTGCACATTCTCAAATGTTCCCTCCTCTAGCATTCCAAACCAGTTCTGGACAGAAACTTAGCAAATTTAGCACAACTTTAGCTCAACCTTTGGCTCAAGTTTACCAAAGCTTCGGTGCCTCAAAGTTCAGCTTCATTATGCTAACTATGCAGAATGAAAAAGAAGATATCTAAGAAGGTTTTATACACTCCAAAATGTCCACCTATTTTGAAAATCCTTTCTCTGACACAGAACCTTCTTTGCGCAATATGTAGTGATGCACAGTAGTATCAGCAGATCAATTTGGGAACTTCGTCTGGGCTAGAATTTCTTGGGAAGAGATTCCATTAATGCGCTGATCAATCCCATGAGGTTGCTCTGGGCTAATAAAAGAACCTGCCCAACTCTAATCAGGTTTACAGACATTCCACTAAGATCAATGAGATGGATTCCTCAAGAAGTGTGTACACAACTGTGGCCCTGTGATTCCTTCATCGGAAGTCCAAAGGATTCACCACCGATTCCAAAGGAATTACTAATTTTGATAATTAATTCTAGGTTCCTTTCTTCACAGCTGCTTCACGGAAGGAGCTTAAAACATCAGCAACAACAGGGTATAGCAGTTGTACTTACGCTGACAATTGTAGAAACGAAGAGAAGGACAAGCACGGAAACATGGAGCACAATGATTCCCAACAACAAAAGGAGCATTTTGGCAAAAGCTTGGATAGATCTGGAAGAAAGGAAGGAAGCACAAATCTTTAAGTAAAGGGAGGAAAGTAGGGACCAGCCATTGGGACAATGCCTTAGAAATGAACAGCAGAGGGTGCCTCTGAGACAGAGAACACACACCACAAGGCTCGTTTAAGGAGCCTAATTACATTCACAAAATTTACCTCCACTTTATGAACAGGAGAAAGCTAAAGATGTGTGTGGGACGGGGAAGTCTTCAGCTTAACTGGGACATGTAAAGGATGAAGGCACTCATCACTCTTTTAAGAAAGTGAAAGAAATTAAATCTGGTGTCTGAAGAATTCCAGTCTACTTGGCAGGCTTGAAAAGTAAAAAGAGATGTTTCAGATAAGCCAGACCCAAGGAGATTGGGTTTTTTCACACCAACACAAACATGTAGAGAGAGTGGAAGAGGCTGCAATAAAATGATGCAAAATTCCCCGCTTACTGCTTCCTAGAATATTACACCTTGAATTATTTCCCTTCCCGGCACTCATTCCCCTTTTTTCCAGATTTGGAAAGTTTATTATGACTCTTGGCACATAGAAAAAATTCAAACGCCATCACATTCCTCAAAGTTTCCATTTAGCGCGGGGGGGGGGCCTTCTATGAAACAGCAGACGAAAATCAAATTATCTATTTTCTGAAGTTGTTCTTGAGAAATAGCTTTGAAAGCAAGGTCTAAAATAAAGTAGGAAAACAGACAGCTGCTTGGAGCAGACCTCCACTGGCTCAGGGGGGGTTAGGCCATGGGGGAATGAAAACCGTTACACCACAAAGCCTCCATTCTCCTTTCAATAATCAACATTTGGAGTCCATTAAACCACTAACTCCACACGCTCACCCTGCCCAGCTATCCCGGCTGCTGCTAAACAGGAGAACAAAACTGTCTGGACAAATACAGAGGGGGACAGAACTCTCTTTCACTCACAAAATTCACTGGGTGAGGGGCAGGTTTCTAGGTTGGCAGCAACAGGAGTGGGGTGGGCGCAAACAGAGAGAGGAGTCGCGCGGATTCAGAACCTCCAGACGAGCAGAAGTTGGCAGCAGGGAAATCACGAAAGGGGCTTTGTAGCCAGGTGGGTCAGATCGAGGAAGGCAGACGCCTTCTATTTAAAAGCAAACTCACTCGCAAACAAAAAAGGCATGCGCATTGTCTCCCCACCACCACCCCTTATACAGACTTCAGAATCTGCCAAGCGTCTGTTATGAGGAGTGGAATTCCAGAGCGGGGGAAAGGAGAGGAGGGGGAAAGATCTACGTGCTAAAATGTTTCAACCCGTTTCTAATTATATCAGTCCCCGCGCAGCCTAGCATAGCTGACTTTCCTCCGTGCAGCGAAGCCTGCGAAGCCCCCAGTGCTGGAACCGAGCGATTCCTGCCTACAAGATCGGGGTAGCAACTGGACTGGCGGCGCCCCCTCCCCGCACGGATTTCCCTAGGTTTGTGGCGAGCCGGTGGAAGAGGAGTGAAGGCGAGGCTGTCGTTGCCTTGTCATCTAGGATAAGAGAACCACAGGGCGGACTTCTAAGAGATGCCTGGAGGGCGCTTCAGTGAAAATGCCCCGCCACCCAAGATTGTACGGGGGACAGATAAGGGATACTTACGGCTCTGCAAAAGTCCCGATCCCTCTCGGGCAGGCTCTGTCTGCCACCGGTTGCTCACCCTCAAATAGGAAGGGGTCCGATGGAAGGCTGCCGCCCGCGTGCGTCGCTGTCCACAGACCGAGTGAGCCCGGTAGGGGGCGGGAATTAAAAAGTTTCGCCTTGGAGCAAGAACAACGCCCCAATCGCGGCTGAGCGCCAAGCAGGCGGGTCTTGCGCGCCGGCGCAGACGGGCGGGCAAGTGGGCGGGCGGCCCGGCCTCGCTATAAATACTTTCCCGGGGTGGGGAGGGGGCGGCGGAGGGGTGGTTGTCGGTGCCGCCAGAAACGCGGCCGAGGAGGGGCGCTTCGCCTCCCAGGTCCAAGAGCCACGTGGAATAAAAGGCTCGCCGTGGAGCTGGTGGGCCGGCAAGGCAAGCTGCTTCTCTGCAGAGGGAAGGCGGGCGAATGCTCCGCAAGAAGCCCCGGTCTCAGCTTAGCCTGGTCCTCGGGGGGCTGGGCGGCGCCGTGCAAATCTCTCGGCGCCTTCCGTGGGCCCTGCGGGGACCGCTTCCCGGGTGCCGCCCGGACAGACGGGGCTGCGGTGGAGCGCTCTGGGGCTCCCGCCGCTGTTTCGGAGAAAGAGGAGACGCGCGGCTGGACGCATCCCGGCGCCGAGGATCAGTCCCATTCACGCCCTGGCCGGGCGGCGGGGTCCGTCCCTCCCTCCCTCCAGGAAGCCATTGAGACCTCAAGCCTACCTTTGCCCTCCAGCCGCACCGACGTCGTAATTTCAAAACCGCTCCTTCCCCTCTCTGGGTTTGTGCAACTTAGTCCCGCCACCGCTTATGCATGTCATGTTCCGGGCGGTCTGTTTCTCCCGCGCGCGCTCCCTCGTGCCTCCCAAAAAAGCCTCTCTTCTAAATCTGAGCCAATACACGCCGCTTTCCTCCACTGGAATTGGCCTCCCCCCCCCCCCCCTCTCCACGCTGCCCATTTCTTTAGATAGCGGAATCCGGCCACAAGAGAATCCCGCGCTTGTTGAATCATTGGCATTGCCGGGGTTGTCCGACATCTCTCACCGCGGAGGGGCGCGCACCCTCCCGCAGCAGGGCGACCTGAGCATCAGCTCTAAGGTGTGACGCGGACACTGCCTTTCACGAAGTTGTGTGATCTTCGCGAAGCTCCCGCGCGCCGAGCTTTTAAGATGGAACACTGCAAAATCCCATTAAATTGTTTTAATGGTCATTAAAACAAAAAACAGAATCACCATCCCAAGGTGGACTTACCCAGGCCAAAGAGTGCGCTTTCCGTACAGCGGTATTCCCTAGAAAGCGAGTGCCAGGTGGAGTAAAGTCCAGGTGGATCCCGAGCAGAAGCAGAGCGATCCAAGCTCCTCCTGCGTGTGGGGTGAGCCCCGGCTGATTCCAAACCCTTTACTGCGACCGCAGGTCTGGTGCTTGCCCAGTTTATCCAGCCCCCGTTCCAACGCGCTGATATGTCATGGTGGCCTGAGAGAGAACACTCTTACTATTTAAAGGGCCAGCGCCTCTATCTTTATCTCCCAACGGGGAACAGATTGAGCACGCAGGGCCTATTTAGGGTGAGCGAGGGAGTGGCTGACCTGGCATCCTGGCGCTGAAAGCCTTTATGAGAAGCCCCCGCAGGCAGCCCGAGCGAACGTCTGACAGCCATCACTCAAAGATCAAAGCAGAGGGCAGAAAGGGAGCCGAAGTGTACTCTGGAGTTTGACGTTACAGGTAATGGAACTTCTGCTTTATCAGGTAAAGCCCAGAACTTGTGGAGCTTCACTTTCACTTGCCAAGATCTGTTGAGCTCACCTGGTTGAAAAAGTGGGAGCTACCATCTTTAGTGACCTTGCCACAAGTGGATTGCCCCTGCCCCATCTCGCAGAGGTCCCCTTAAGTCATGTTGAAATCAGCCCTAGAGTTTCCACTGGGCATACAGATGTGCATTCATTCTGCTTTGTCCTTCCCACGTGGTACATTTTGGGGTAGGCCCTGGAGAAACACTTGTGGCAAAACAGGAGGAAAGGGCAAGGGTTTTTATTGCTCCCTCCCACTCATTTGCCTCACGGACCCTGTCGGCTGCAAACTCGCTGTCAAAGCAAAGCTCACATCTGTGCCTGTGGCGTTCAAGGTGGAAATAGTTGATTCAGTATTGGGTGGTGCCAGCATAGTGAAAAATGTGGGGCACACTTCCTCATGGAGAATCAGTAGTTTTAAAAACATGCCCCAAGATCATAGCAGGCTTCTATGCCCACCAGCCTGCAGAAAAAACAAAACAAAACGCCATCACTACCAAACCAAGCACCAAAAGAAAACAAACAATTCATGGTACAAATCCATAGGCTACAGATCCGTGTGCGTTCACTTCAAGTATTCCATAAGGCATTCCAACCATGGGCACTCGCTCCCTAGCAGGAAGCACTCGGGCACTCCTAGTTTCTGATGATGTGTAGATAAAGTGTAGTTTGTCTCACAGATTGAGTAGGCACTTTGTTCCTTGTACACAATGCCCACTGTCTTGGAGCGTGTATTGTACAGAGTAATTGCCTTCCAAGTAAGAGACCAGAGTGGCTGCTTAAAAGCCAAGGGAAGAGGTTACGCTGGCAGAAGGGAGCAAGGGTTGCATTCGTGCCAAGTTATTTTGCATGCATGCCAGACTGAGATGCACATGGCCAGGGCTGTCCCTACCATTAGGCAGAATGAAGCAATCTCTGCAGGCGGCTGGTTTTGGGAGCTGTGAAAGGGAAGCAATTTGTCCCTTAATTTATGGGCATTGTAGCGGTACTAGCAGGAGGGAGAAGGAGGGATGCGTATACGGGTTTCTGCCTCCTGGGCCTAAATACTTTGGGTGCCTTGAGTAAAATGCCTTCAGGAAGGGGCTCTGGTTGCTGTTCCATCTCAGGCAGCCAAAGGCTTCTAGCTGGCCATGCACGTTGCAAATGCAAATGAGCACTGAGTGTGTCACTAGGCAGTAGTGCATTGACAGACTCACTAGTATTCAGCTTCTTGGTTGGATGTTGATGGATAGCCACGCTCATTATGCAATAAATACTTTCCCCCAGGAGCCCTTATTTACGAGTAGGTGTAGAAGCAATTGCTTGGATTGCAACTTGGCCAGCTGAGCAAAACCAAAGACTCTTCTCTGCTGTGGTACCCCGAGATCACAACATTTGGAACCAGGGTTGTATAGTGGTTAAGGGTGTGGGTCAGGAGATCTGGGTTCTTGTCCCCTCTCAGCCATAGAGCATCCTGGTGACTTTGGGTCAGTGAAAGGCTCTAAACCCAACCTAACGCACAGTTGTCATGAGGTTAACCCTGAGAAGAGGAGCAGAATTAAATAAGCCACCTTGAGTTCTTTGAAGGAAAATATAGATATAATGCAATACAAATAGAAATAATTATTTTGCATTCATTTGAAATGTTTGAATTCTTTCAGCTTCTAGGAGCACTTCATTTTCCATAGAAAATAGAATAAAAACATTTGTTTAGCTTGATTTATGCATTACTTTCCTATGGTGGATTGTGCATGATGCTGCACGTAATAAGTACTGGCACATATGAAAAGCCCGTCTGGCATGGCAGTTGGAGTGTTGAACTGGGACGTGAGAGATGCAGGTTTTAGTCCTCAGACGTAAAACTCACTTGGTGTCAGTTACTGATTCTCAGCCTAGCCTACTGTGGAGGTTTGTTGCTGGGATAATATGGAAAGGAAGAAGAGGAGAGCAGCTCAGTGTCGCTGCAGGATAGTAGGGGTTCGGGCCTCGTGGGAAGAGTTGTCTCTAGGGAAGGTGGATGACTTCTATTGCCTGGTGTTTTCCAGGTGTTTTGGGATTCATCCATTTACACATACAAGGTCATTTTATTTTCTGCAACATGCATGCTTTACTCTGCAGAATTTTGCCTTTTACTTGTATTAATCCTCGTAGAGCGTTTCCTTGTTCTGTTAAAAATGCATATAAATAAATTTGGCTGATGTAAAACAACTTTATTTCTGGAACCCATGAAGATAATCTGTAGTTGTTGGTTGGGTTGGGAACGGTGAGTCATTCATAGTTAACAAGCCATGGTTTGTTATCTTAATTGATTCGGACAACGCAATAGCCCAGATTTCAACAGCAATCCATGCTCCAGTGGCCAACCACCCTCAGCCCACATGGATTCCTCACGCATGAGTTATTGGGCTGCCTGGTGTCAGCCAATGTTTTACAAAAACAGACCTGTAGGACCCCCGGCTCAAAAGCCTCAGTTACATTGGGAAAGAGGGAAGGAAGATTAAGGATGATGCTTCCCTTGCCCACAAAGCTATAGTCCTTCCCCTGTGGATAAGACTTATGCATGTACGAACACAGTGCTGTGCCAAGTGTGCAGAACCTCTAGCCCATGGGCCTAATCTGGGCCATGGGGTGCCCGGTCCAGCTCATGCCACTCTGTTGCTGCAGTTCCAAGTCCTGCCCCCTGAAGGAGACTCCTCAAAGGGCACCCCTGCAGCCATCTCCAAGCAAAACTATCTGGTGGGGGGGTTACAGTTCACCTAAGGAGGAGCAATAGCAGCAGGGGTGGGGACTGTACTCTTCAGCGTGCCTAAAGTCCATGGCAATTCCACCAGTAGCTTGCAGCAGAAAAGCTGCAGTTTCATCACTAAAGGATCCTTCTGTCTGGAAGCACCTTCAGCAATGGGGGTATCACTAATGAGGATTTTATTGCGCTATTGTCCTGGCTCATTCAGAGAATGCTATGCAAGATCCGGACAATGCATGTTTTCCTGCTGCTGAGTTTTCTTACTGTGCAAAATCTGTTAAGGAATGAAAAAGATCAGAGTAGCAATCAGAATAGTTGCATAATGCCTTCCAATTTGTAGATTTCAGAGCCACCACCTGAAAGCACCCTTTGTCCTACTAGCATAATTCAACCTGAGAAAGAGGGATGTTGGATGCAAAGTCAGTAAAAAAGTGTTTATGTATCTCATTCCTATAACAGAGAGAAACTAGAATATTCTCCCCAATCTGGTGCTTTCCAATGTTTTGGACTGCACTTTCCAGAATTCCCAACCATTGGTAATGCTGAGTGTATCTGATGGGAGTTCAGGTCCAAAACGTCTGGAGCTCTCCAAGTTGGATAAGGGTGATAAAGGCACCAAGACTTAAGAAAGAGAAGACTGAGAGGGGACATGATATCCCTCTATAAGTACCTAAAAGGCTGTCACAAAAAGGAAGGACAAGATCTCTTCTCTCTGATACAAGAGTGTAGGACACGGAATAATCAGCTCAAGTTGCGACAACCCAGATTCAAGCTGGATATCAGGAAAATATTCCTCACTGTCAGGACAATATGACAGTGGACGCAGTGTGCTAGAGAAGTCATGGGCTTTCCCACACTAGAGACATTCAAAGAGAAACTGCACAGCCATCTGGGAGGGATGGTTTAATTTGGAGTCCTGTATTGAGCAGGTGACTGGACCTGATGGCCTTCTTGGCCCCTTCCAGTTTCACTATTCTATGGTTGATCTAGAATTGCCAAGCCATTCTCTGCCCAGATTAGCTCTTCTGGCCTTTGATTTACAGATGTGATGGAGAGAGGGAGGGAGGGAGAGAAAGATAATCAATTTAACTGTTCCTATTCTTTCAAAATGATCTTTGTTTCAAAAGTTGCTTTTGGTACTCATTGAGAGTTGCCAGTATGAGTTCCTTCACCTCCTAATTTACCTACATCAGTCCCTTCATGGATCATGGGGAGCCACGGCAAAGTGGGAAAGCGTGCAGATTAATGTGTTTCAACAACACTAGATCCAGTTCTCATCACATGTGACGTTTGGCCATAGTTTTGCCTCTCCCTCTTTCCTCCGTCTGCACAAACTGTCTTTTTGTGCCAGCTGCTTCATGTGTTAGCTGAAAACTCACAGCTGCAGCAACGTCTGTCGCTAAACCCAGCCTCACCTCAGGGTGAGGCAGAATGGAGGCTTCATTTTAGATAGCTGATCTGAGGTAAAATTTGAAGAGCGCAAACAGATGCTCTTCTTGAACATATCAAACCAGGTATCATCTTTGATTCAGGCTAAGGTTAGGTCTGGATTAAAGAAATACCAGACTGTATCCCAAGCTATTTTAAGCTGATATAAATGGAATTTTGTGACTCTCTAGCTCCAGGGCTAAATTATCCGGTACTTTCCATATGTTTTGGGCTACTTGTCCCATAATCCTCTGTGCTGACTCATATATTACCAGTATAAGCCATTTTTACCCACAAGTAAATCTTTCTGGTTGCATTCACATGCTATAACAGCCTATGTTGCCAATAATACTTGTTCCTGGGATGTCCCACTGCGCACTTAAAATTATGATGGGTTCATCACAGGTTGTCTGTTATACCTTCTTTCCCCTCAGTCTTCCCACAGGTATCTCAGGGACCTGCATAGCAGAATCCATC